GCGTATCTCAATTGATCTTGATCTATGTATTTATCTTGATCTTGATCAGGTTTGATTTATCCAGATGTCAGTCTCAAATGATCCAGATGTCTTGATCTATCTCAATGTCAGTCTCGATTTATCTTGATCTCAATCATCATCAAGATCCTTGGTCTATCTGTCTGTCAATTGATCTTTGGTGAAACACTGATTTTTCTTTGTTTTTATGACCAACCGTTTCTAACCATTTTGACCATTTTGATTGAGGAAAAGAGCCCTAAAACAGTAAAGGTACGATGTGGGGAAAAGAGCCCTAAAACAGTAAAGGTAGACGAAGGTTTAATTAACGAACATATCTCAGATATCTGTGACGGATTTTAATCTCACTTCACCTCCCGTGGCTACGTTAGAAGTCGGTCGTTTTCTCAGTCAAACCTTCATTAAAAAGACGCATCAGTGAGAACCAGAAAGTCTGCTCTACATTTAAAGTGAGTTCATATCAAAGTGGATTCATATGTTGAGATTAAAGACACATGTCTTGGCTTCCTTGGGGTAATTTTGTTGATTCTGAAGAATTGTTTTGCTTTTAGAAGTTGAAAAAAAAAAAAACTGTTCCAAGACCGGATCTGGCTCCAGGTTTTTTATTTTTGCCCATGTGTGGTCTGAAACCTTCAGGTCTATCGTGTGTGTTTACAATCTGTAGAAAAGATTTTTGGGTTGACCAAATAACATCGAGATGTTTGTACAAGTAAAAGGTAGGAGACAATTTAACTACATCTTGAGGTTCATTAAACGTTCCCTGGGAAAATGTTTTGCAAATCCTTTAAAAGATTCCCAGTCAAATCTCTAAATAATGAGCAAAGTCGACAGGAAATATTCTGGATAACAATCCACATTCTCCTGCATGTGGAGCTCAGATACACCAGGATTCTCCTGCTGTTGAGGAGACAGCAGACTCAGACCCCCCCCTCCAGTCGGAAACTGCAGTCCTGAACTCCACAGAACATCCAGACACAGGTTCAGGTCTAAAAACTGTTTGTTATGGAAGTCATGACCAGAGGAAGAACTGAGAGGCAGATTGTGAGAAATTGCACATAAAATTCAAAGCAGATCCTGTTGACGTCACAGAGGAAGGAGTAAATAAAAACCTCCAGACTGTTGAGAATTAGTTTGGGCTGAAAGTCACATTCTATTAACCCGAGCAGAAGACTCCAGTCGTGACTCCAGTCGTGGTGTTTTCAGGATTATTTCTTCACAATATTTACGGCGACTCTTTCTGAAGTTAGGGTTTTTAAACAGGTATATCCAAAGTCTGGTTTGAGGTCCCAACCTGCACATTCTATTTCCCTGTTAGATAGTGTCATAATGCATGTGTTTATGAGAAGTTTTTTCCTGCTTTACTTTGTAGAACAGGAACAGCCTTGTGATTGGAAGGCTGCTGGTTCAAATCCCTGACCTGTCTGACAGGAGGATGGTGTTTTAAGCATGAAAAAAGAAAATCCTTCTCTTAGCTTTTGAGTTGGTGTGGTTTATTTTACCATTTTCCCAAGATTTTTGTACTTTTGCAAAACTGTTTCAGTAAATTTCTTCTGATAAAGAGTGTTATAGAGAAGTATTATTTGTAGGAGAAACGTCTTATTGCGTCGAACACATTTAATACACAGCAAATACCATTTTAAGAACTCGGTGTGTTTGTGTGGCGACCACAGACTTTTCTCTCTTCACCGATTGGCTGCATCAGTTGGGCTCCATTGATTTGTCTTGCCAACCCAAACATACATGTTTGCTTTGTAAATCCGAGCGTTGATGGGGGGATTTACGAAGATCCGTCTCTAATCTTTGTGACCCAGTAGAAAACCCGTAGTCTCACCTGTTTGAGCGCCTCCTGCTTGCTCTTGCTCAGCTCCTCGTATTTATGTTTCCACTGACTGAGCTCAGCCTCCAGCCTCTCGATGCTTTTACTCAGAGCCAGTTTGTCTCTGGGGGGGAGGAAACAGAAGAGGTTATGTACGGGATGCCTGACGAGGTTATTGACAGAGTCAGGAAACGTCTCTGTGAGGTCTTACATGGATTTTACCAAAGTTCTGCCACATGTCACAGGTGAAACACGTGTGGCTGGAAAAACATTGAGAGTTTCCTGCAACCTCATGACCAGAAAATTGAGTCAGAGACAAATGTATAGTTTAAAGGTTAGGTTTGTTTGTGACTTAAATATTTAGTTTTTAATTATGTGTTCAGAATAATTGAAGAAATACAAAACTCTCCAATATGTCAGCGTTGACCCAGAATGTAAACACCAGTTCATGATGCTTAAAGGACAACAGTTAGTGGTGGCTTAATCCGATACTGCAGATCGATATCTATGCGTTATTGGTCAAAATTTCAGGATCAAACATCGAAAAAAACCCAACTATTTTCTGTCCTATTTGATACCAAAGCCAACAACACTCAACTTTCATTTGTGCGACATGCCGTAAACGGGGACAGTATCGCCTCAGCAACTGCAGCCCGCGGCATTGCTGGAGGGGAAATTAACGTATCGGCAGACACTTATAGGATGAATGGAGTCATCAAAATAATAGTTTTTTTTTTACATTAATTTAACTTATAACCTCAATCCCCTGACTCCTGCTGACTGAATACGTTTTTCTCTTCCTTTCCCTCTTTACTTTCCACTTACTCTCTCTCCTTCTCCTTCAGCAGGCCTTGCTGGGCCTCGTCCAGGCGGAGCTGCAGGGCGTTGAGTCTGCTGGAGTCTTCCTCGGCTGTGCTCACGTCCTCCCACAGCTGCCTGCTGCGCTCCTGACGGCTCAGGCTGCACGATGACCGCGAGCTGGACGCGTTGACTCCGCCGCCGCCGCCGCCACGACTCTCCCAGGTGTCCTGACCATCGGCCCCGGGCACCTTGGTGCGAAGGACGGACTCCAGCAGCTCCATGTCCTGACAGACAGAGAGGAGAAAGTCAGGATAAATGCTAGGCTAGGACAGAAGGTTACAATAATAAGTAACAATTTACATTCCAAAGAAGAAACCTCCAACAGACAACAGTAAATCAGACGAAATGTAAGAAAAAAACCCCCAAAAACTTACCAACTTGTTTAAATGAAATGGGAAAAGCAGCGCCGCTCTGAATGTTGTTTAGTTAAAAAAAAACCTCATGTCTATTTGCTGTACTGCCTCTAACCACTAGGTGGTGATATAACACAAGACTGTTATACCGCATAATCTTTTTTGGCGACATTGACCAAACTGAATGTTGATTAGATTAATTTTAGAAAAAAACTTCTTTTTTTTAGAAAAAAAACAAACTTTCAACTCTTATAAAGTTTTTTTTATTTGTTTTGCTCTCAAACACCAGATAAACCCGTTAACCAACACCCTAAACTGTAGTATTTTTCAGACGATCACAAAGAAGAACTGGAAAGAATAGCACATGATGAAGGTTTAAAATAAAAAAATAATTTGAATTACCTGAAGTGATTAATTACTTTCCCCTGCCCCAAAAAGGTGAATGGAGTCAGAGATGGAAATTTCATCTCTGACTCCACCAT